ATCATGGCGATGCATCGTGCGCCAGGTCCAGTCCCGAGTGGTGACGACACCCGGGGGACGCGTGGTGGTACCGCTCTACGCTCCTCCTCTGACCTTAGTCCACGGCCGTCCTGTGTTCCGTCGCAGCGTTTATTCTCTCAGTCGGGTAAAAGTCAGCTGATCCCGTCCCGTCGTCCGGCTTGTCCTCTAGCATGCTTCAATTGCCCTCCCACTCAGCTCCGGGGTGTCGTCTGGCAATTTCATGATCGTTTTCGTCCACGGCCTTCCGCGATGATTTAGGACTCTTTCCCATCCCCTTGTTTCCCCTCAGGATCCTCAGCTTGCCCCTGTTTTCGTCCGACTTTCCCGGCTTGTCTTGGTCCCCCGTTTCTCTCGGGTGACCCGTGATTCATCCCCCGTTTTGCTGTTGCGATTCCCGGCTTGTCCTGCCTTTCCCCGTAAGGGAAAGGGAGGAAAAGGCTTGTCCCCTGTTTCCCTTTGACGGGCCATGCCTAGTCTCTGTTTGCCTCTGACCAGCACTTCTCCCCTGTTTCCCTTTAATGATCCCCAGCTCTTCCCTCGGTCGTCCCCGGCGTGGCCGCCGTCTCCCCCTGGCGATCCCCGGCCTGTTCCGTCGCCGGGTGGGCGGACGGCGGCGGCAGAGGCGTGGCCGCCGTCTCCCCCTGACGATACTGGCCTGTTCCGTCCGGGGGCGGACGGCGGCGGCAGAGGCGTGGCCGCCGTCCCTCCTGACGATCCCCGGTCTGTTCCGTCCGGGGGCGGACGGCGGCGACAGAGGCGTGGCCGCCGTCCTCCCTGACGGTCCCCGGCCTGTTCCGTCCGGGGGCGGACGGCGGTGATAGAGGCGTGGGCGCCGGCCGACGCGACCGACCGTCGGCCGGGACGAGCCCTGTTGCTGGGGACGGCCTCGGCCGGCTTGGCGCCAGATCATGAGCTCGGCTGGGTCATAACGGTCACAACGCCGAGACTGTCCGCTGGTGCTGCTGATGACGCTGGGGGCGGCGTTGTGGCTGAAGCTGTGGTAGACTCGGAGGTGATTCGATTCCGCCTGCCACCTTGTCGTCACACAACGTAATTTCGTCTCCGGTTTGCTGTTTTCCACCGTGTTTTTTTACGGGTGGATCGGGAGGGCCACGGGACCAGTGCTTGGGCTCGGCATATTTTACTGCTCACTTAAACTACAGCTGGCTTTAGGAGCCCGTGTTGCCAACAGCTAGATCAGTTAGGGGCGCACATGAATCAGCCGCCGGACGTTATTGCAGTGGTTGATATGGTGCACGTCTCCGGCAGACTGCTGTTATGCTGTGGTTGTAGCCAAGTGCCAGGCAAGCCTTGGTGCGACGTTGTATGGCAGCGATCTTAAAACGAGCGCGATCCGGCAGCGATGTGCTGATTTTAAGTCGTCTCGTTTCTGTTCGAGACCGTGCTGGCGCCGGCTCTGAAGTTCCGGGCAAATCAGTGTCCGGATGATTCCCAAACATTTGTTCACTTGTTATAACTGCCCCTTCCCAGCCCCGCCACGCCACTTCTGTGGGCTCAGGAGCATGGCCTCGTGCATGAATGCGTAAGATACACGATTAACCTCTCGAGCGCAGCTCAGTCATTACCTCTGCGTCTTACGTTGCCGCAGCATTAAACGCGTTTGAGACTCGTCCCTCCACCGCGGCTCCATTGGAAGTCAACTCGGCGCAACAACGAAGGGCCGGCACGCCGTCTGCACTGCGGTGCGCTCAGGTCGAGCTGTGCCGGCCACGGCGGGCGGGGCTAAGTGCGTCTCTCTGCGGCCGGCGGGGGGTCCTGCGTGCCCCTCCCCGGTCCCGCGGGAGCCCCCCCCCCCCCCCCCCCCCCCCCGGCCGTCCCGGTATCGATGCGGCGGCCGCCGCTGCTCTGCCCAAGTGTTGGGCCGGCCGGTGGCGGGCGGGCCGCCGCGGCCAGCGCGCCACCCGCCGCCGCCCGGACGGCCGCCCCCGACGGCTGTGCGTGGCGCGTCGCCCGCCGAGCTGCAGCACCCCGGCCGCCAGCCGCCCCACCCCCAGGTAAACGCGCCGGTGGACGCCGCCGCCCCGGCCGGCCAGGCAGCAGTCGGCCGGCCGGGGTCTGCCGGTGATGCTCCGTCTGACGCGAATACCCGCTGGGTGCGTCGTAGCGGGACACAGAGCCCGTCTTATCCGCGCCAGTGTTTGGGTGACTGAGCACAGCTTGAGGATTGTGGGGTCCTGACGTGCGTGCGGTCCCAGCTGCTTCCAGTTAGTGTGCACGTTGTTTACCTTGCCCATAAAAAATGCCTTAATTCTGACCACTTCTGGCTCGAGAGACTGTACCATTTCCATAAGCTTAATGACTTGGCTGGTGACTTCATTTTTTGGGTATCCTTTACCAGCCATAAATCTCCGGCGGAGACAATTTCCCTCTGGTTTGCCAGTTCGGTGGCGAACAGGCCCGGCACCATATGCGGGACTCTGCATACCAAATATGATGTCTTGGAGCCACTTACAGATGCGACTGAGTGTTGGCGGTTCGGTGGACTGGGTTATTCATGCCATACCTTCTCCCGGCTCGGCACTAGGTGGTCAGCATCCCTGAATTGCGCGCCGACAGGAGAATGAATAGTGCCGTGTAATGTGAAATGGTGTTCTAACGGGTCGCAGAGGTTTCGTTTAGGCTCCATTTCCGAGCGGAATGGATCGGACGCGAATCAGGCTTGAAATGGGCTTCTATTTTGCGTCTGCATGGCACGGGAACGCGACCCTTGGCTCGGATGGCGTGAACGGTCTTAAAGGCTTTGAGATTTTGAACCTCTGTGGAGTTAATGCATTTCAACAGTGGAGTGGAACGTGTGATTTGATTGGAAGAGCACTGTGGCGTGGATTCAAAAGGCTCGCGTTACTCAGCTTGAAGCTGTCGGGCACCTGTTGGTTGGTAAGGTGTTCAAGTTGGACGGCAGGCAACGGTCCCCACTCACGGGCCCTGCTGTCCCGGTCTGATGGTTTGCTTGGCTCTGTACATTGACTTGGGCCCGGCGAGACCCTCGGCTGAGGGATCGGCGCTGCAATGTAAGCTGCCCGATCGGTGCAGGCTTCCCGTTATGGCTGCGGCCGGGCG